AAAAAAAAAAAAAAAAAAAAGAAAAAAAAATAACGATGAAAATAACAGAACGATTTAAGTTTAAAATGAAAATTCCCAAGATTTTAAAGTTAAAAAATACACAGAGCATACACAATCGAATAAAGCAATAAAGAAAAGAAGAGAAATTTTTTGGTTAGTCACTTTGAAAGTTAAACCTATTATTCTCAAGTAGTATATCAAGTATATAATACTAGTATGCAGAAATGTGTTATTTTATAATAGAAAATTTCAATATCAATATATATAACGATATTTATAATATCAGAATGCAACGGGATTAACTTTTCGTATGGTGTTATTCACTGAAGAACAGGGATAAAAAGGGGGAAGGGGGGAGGGGGTTGGCAGAAGGGAGAGAGAGAACATTTTATTTCCCACGGTGTTTGCTTTGTCGACCGAGCACGGAGATCTCTCTTTCTCTCTTTGACACACACACACATACACATACATACTTCATTGGCGTAACCTTTGATTGTGTGATTCAGAGGAAACGAATAAGTTAATTCGATTCTGTCTCTATGTCCTATGTAGTTTTCGTTTCGCTTCGACAGATCTATATATGTATACTTCAGTGTATGTATAACTATAAATATAACTGTATAGTACATATATATATATATAGATTCACATATAAAAGATATATAGTAATAGTTGTGTGTAAAGGTACACTTATTTAACTCTCTTCTTGTCTGTGCACGTTTTGCTACTTTTTCTCTATCTCCTTTGCTAGTTTTTTTCTTTCTTTTTCTAGTTTTTTTTCTCTCCCTATATATGTCGATTCATGTCGCAACAGAACCCGAACTAGGTACTTACTCTGACGCAATAGAATGAACGCGTTTATCATTACAACTAGTATTAGATCACACCGCGCGACTGTTAAATATATATTGTACATATATACGTGGACAAATATATATATATGTATAGATAGACTGTTAAATGTTGTATGTATTTTTCTCTTAATAGATAATAGTATGTAGGTTTGTGGTTTCTGTAATGAGAAAACTAATAGATCGTGGCCAGGGTCGTTTGGTTCTTCGTGATCGGGATGACGCACGGATTATGTGAAATCGGAAGTTTTATGAAATATACATATACATATAAATATATATATATACATATATATATACATAATTATAAGTAATAAATATTATTAGAATTAATATTTATTATTAATTATTATAGTAATTATTTAGTACTTTAGTATATTAATATTTAAGTTAGTACTTTAGTGTACTAAGTTAGTACATTAATAATTACTTATATATATATATATAAGGTACATTATACAGTACATATTACTATGTAGAAATTATTGATTTTAATACAAATTAATTTAATATAATAAACTAATAATTATAATTAATAATTTAATCACGTTAAATTACTAGTTCTTTTTAAATTAATAAAATCATGCAACATGGGGTATGGTTAATAAAATGAATAGATTGGTGTAACCCATTCGAAGAAACAAAAGACAAAATTCGTGAATTGTTGACTTTTAGAGATAACAAGTAAAAAGAATAGGTGTGAAAAGGTGTTCGTTAAGAAGAGTAACTTGAACTCGTAAAAGGGAGAATAAAAAGAAAAAATATTGATCTTTACATGGCATATTATTTCCTTTATAGGGAAGAAGTTCCAAAATTTTGTCTTTTGATTTGTCCCATTATAGTATTATTACTATTCTCTCTGAGACTTTTTATATTAAAATAAATAAAATGATTATGACATATTCATATTGTGTCATATACAATATCAAAGTTTTACAATTGACTACCCCTTTGTGAATAATTTTTGATTTTGGTTTTGAATTTTATTTTTAGATAAAAGAAAAATTGCATGGTCCATTTAAATATGTATATAAAATCAAAAAATTAATAAAAAATACTTACAAGCAATTATAGAGGAGGGAATCGACGATTTTGACCGTAAAACACGTGGCACCATTTAGGCAGTACCATTGCGCATAATCCGGAGGACACGTATACATGTGGAATGTAATATTTGGCCGAGGTGTCGGCGTTGGTGGTCGTGGCTTTGGTGTTGACCGCGACGAACAGGCATCTGTATTTTGTGTAAATGTAACAAAAAAAAATAGACACACAATTATTATTATTTTTATATAAATTAAACAAAAAGGAAGAGAGAAAGAGAGAGAGAGAGAGAAAGAAAGAAAGAGAAAAAAAGAGAAATTAATAAATATAAATAACTAATAAACAATAACTAATAAATAAAACATTAATAATTTCCATTTATATATATATATATATAAATAAATATTGGATGTGATTAAATCGCAACTTAAACTAATGGATGCAGATTATTTATCCCATTATTATTGGTAGAGTAGAAAGAGGGGAGGATAGAGAATAAAGGTAAAGAAATGGAGAAAATGGGTGGCAACGTTTGGTACAAAATTTTTCACCATTTTCAAGTTTATCGGGAGTAATGGACTCACAGTTTTGGTATTTGCGATGTAACCTCTCCCCCTACCTTTCTTTTCTCTCTCTCTCTCATTTTCTCTTTTTCTATCTATTTCTCTCGTCATGATTAGCTAATTCTTTTTTTTTAGCAACTTTGATCGGATACAACTCACAATCAGCACACGTGCTCGTATCCTTTCTGCGTATGCGTACAACAAACACACACATGTGTGCACGCGGACGAGGAGGTGGTAGAAATAAAAGTAGAGGTGGAGGTGAAGGTGGTGATGGGTGTAAGGGTGACGGTGAGGGGGGCGGGGGAGGTGGATCCTTCTTCGTACGTACAACAGAGCGTTCTCGTGTAGCAGAAAACTGCTGCACCCTGCATCTGCCCCCCGAAAAAGTTAAAATATATCGAGCGCTTCGCGGCGTTCTCTATCTGTCACCTGTTGCAATTTTACAATCTGCCGTTTGGCGTGCGTGACCCCACAACAAAAAAAAAATTACAGAAAGAATAACGAATAAAAATAATAATAATAGTAATGATAATAATGATAATAATGATAATAATAATAATAATAATAATAATAAAAGTAATAAAAATTAAGCGTATACGGGATTTTATTTCTGACTCTATCTCACCTCCCGCCTTTCGTCTTTTTTTTTATGTTTAAATATAAAAGTCGAAAAATACCAGAACTGGTATCGGTCGTACGCGTGCCTGGGTAATTTTGTTGCCTTTTTTTTTTGGTACCTCCCGTTCTGTCACCTGACATACATACACAGGTGAGAGAGAGCGCACGCGCGCGTGACTCGTAATTCGTCGCGTGTACCATGAAATTATTATTGCTAAAAAAAGGAAGGGTTTTTTGGGATGATTATTAAAGAAAGAAGTGGTTATATGCGATAATCGGAGAGGTTTCGGGTTAATTTTGTAATGTTTTATGGTTGGAAGAAAGCTAATTCTAATTTGTTATATAATTTTTAATAGAATATTATTATGAAAATTAATATTTGGATTTATTGTTGTATTTATATAATTACGTACGTCGCCGAATGAAGATTGTCGTACGTAGATTATGTAAAAATACAAAATATAGAAAGAAGAAAATAAAAATAAAACTTGTAAATTTGGACACTAACCTGTTATACCAAAGAGGGTATAGGAGATGATGAGTAATGTCGCGAGGTACGGTTGAATCTTGCATCCTCTCATAATGGCAGTGACACTCCTAGACGTGTTGCTATCTTCAGGTCGGACAAGAGGAATAATAGGTGACGAAGATATGGAAGAAGAAGCGGTGCTCTTGCTGTCGCTATCATTGGTATTGGTTGTCGTCGTTATTGTCGTTGTCGTCGTCGTCGTCATCGTTGTCGTCATCGTCGTTGTCGTCGAAGAAGATGAAGAAGAAGAAGAAGAAGTAGAAGAAGAAGAAGAATGAGTTATATTTTCTCGTCTTCGTTCTTTCCGAAGACGTTGTTGAAGGTCATCTAGCTGCTGATGATGTTGATGATGAGGACTTAGATGAGGTCGTTGTTGTTGGTCCTGTTGTTGATGATACTGTTGTTGGTGATATTGACAATGATGACGATGATGATGATTATGATGGTGATGGTGATGATGGTGGTGGTGGTGGTGGTGGTGATGATGAGGATGATGATGATGACTATGATGAGGATGATGATAATAATGATGCCTGTAATGAGGACGATGTTGATATTGTAGACAATCTTGAGGATGCTGATGGTGATAATGACGGTGTTGTTGATGTTGAAGTTGATGACAATAACTATAATGTAAATGATGTTGACGATGAAGGTAACGTAAATCTGCTATGTCCCAAGATGACGGCTGTTGTTGTTCTTCAGAACAATGCGATAATGACGTATCGGTGCAATAATCCTCTTCAAAATGATTATAATCTTCAATCATTTTTTCATCCTTCGTTGTATTCGCGACATCAAGGTTTTTACGTTGATGACAACAATGAAGACGTGGATGATGCCTATAATATTGTTGGTAACGATGATGATTCTTGCTGCCGTCGTTCATGATGATGTTATTGGTACTGGTGGTTGTACTGTTATTGGTTGTACTGCTGGTGTTATTATCGCAACAACAGAGTTCTTCATCGTCCTCCATCGACGACGAACTACTACTAACTTCTTCAATAATCCCGTTTTCTCTTCCTATCATCTGGCATCCCCCGTTTGCCATAAGGGCACCTCCAATCGTGTTGGTGGTGGTGCTGCTGCTGTTGTTGTTGCTGGTGCTGCTGCTGCTACTTCCAGCCACTAACGTCGTCATCTTCGTCATCTTCGTCATCGTAGTCGTAGTCGTCGTCGTCGTGGTCGTTGCCGTCGTTGTCGGACCAACCGCTGCTGCTGCTGCTGCTGTCATCTTCGTCATCTTCGTCATCGTAGTCGTAGTCGTCGTCGTCGTGGTCGTTGCCGTCGTTGTCGGACCAACCGCTGCTGCTGCTGCTGCTGCTGCCACCATCGTTGCCGTCCCAGCAGCTTTTTCTGTTTCCTCGACAGCACGAGCCGTTCCACCTGGCCCAGAACTCCGGCGCACGTGTCGCCGCCTCCCTGTAACCAAATATCCAACAGGCCGCACGTTTACAGTGTGTTATATCTCGGCCAAAGTCTACTCGATCTATCTCTCCCTTAGGGCTAACAACAACTCGAGTGTGTTACTTGAGTATACTCTTACCCCCACTCACTCGCTCACAAAACTCTCGCACTCTTTAATATCTATATCAATATCCGTACTATCTCTCCTCTCACTCATATGTACACGTAGGTGAACGTTTTATAAGAGTTCTTTCTAACTTCTCACTAACATCCCCACTAACACCGGCCCTAAAAACAACTTGTAAATATTTAGAAGATATAATAGAAAAGCGCAAATGCTTTTGCAAAAGGTATGTGCTCTGGAGGGTTTGTTTGCCTTGAAAACATTTACCGTGAAAGAAAGCTGTTTTCACAGTGGCATCCTTTTCCTTCCTTCCTTCCTTTTAACCATCTGCTTCCACCCCCTCCCCTATTCTCTCACTTCTCTCTTTCTCTCTCACTCAATCTTCCCTTTTTCGTCTGTCTCTTTTGCATTCTCCTAGAGAGTAGTCCCCAGTCATTCGTAGGCTTTGCACAAGCCGGTTTGTGTAAAGTTTATCGAATTATGGATTCCCTAAAGCGTGCGCCGTTATTGACTTAACTCCGTGCCAGGCGCAGCCTGAGAGAAGAGGAAAGGTCCTCGAAGGAATATAAAGGATCATTATGTGTCTGACGCTTTGCTTCTCGAGAGAGAGAGAAAGAGAAAAATTTTTCTACAGCTTTATAACACAATGCCTGGTGTTCTGTACGTAGCCGGTGAAAAAAAGGACGGCTGCTTTCTTCTATGTATATGTTTGTATGTAAGAACACCAAGAAGAGATTCAGAAAAAGTGAGAGAGAGAGAGAGAGAGAGAGAGAGAGAAAAGAGGGTAAATTTTCATATATGTTTGATTTCAAACAGAGAACTTTTTTATGTGTCTCTATTATCGAAATAAAATATAGATATTTTGAACAAAAAATTGATAAATATGAATATTATCATAATAACCATACACGTAATTATTGTATATATGTAGGTATATGAATGATCATTATAATGAAAATGAAGATGAAGAAGAAGTAAGAAGTTAGAAGGGGAAGATGGAAGAAGGAAGTAGTTGGGTTAAAATGTAAACGGAAGTTATGAATACGTGCAATTAGAAAATAACCTAAATTTAAAAAGTATGAGAATAATATACTTAGGAATACTCGAGAGAGAGAAAGAGAGACAGGGAGAGAGAGAGGGAGAGAGAGAGGGAGGAAGAGAGAGAGAGAAGGAGAGAGAAAGAGAGAGAGTGAGAAAAAGTTAGTGCATATATGTGTGTGTGTATGCGTTTGAGATAATTTTCATTTTAAAGAGAGAGATGTAAAGCAGAAGAAGAAGAGGTAGAAGAAGAAGAAGAAAAAGAAGAAGAAGAAGAAGAAGAAGAAGAAGAAGAAGAAGAAGAAACTAGAAGGAAGGAGAGAAACACGCCGAGGCATTTAACGTCTCTGTTGAGGAAAGGGAAATAGCCAATTATTGAGAGAACTGCATGTGGGCTGTGGACCGTACTTAAACTCACCGGCTGATGACTGCATTGTCTTTCTTTCTCTTTCTCTTTCTCTTTCTCACTCTATATTTCTATCCTTTTTTCGTGTCTTGCCGTGTCACCTACTTATCGTTAGCGATGAATACCCTCTTCCCCTCTTTTTCTTTTTTTAAAAGGATTTATTGCGAGTGCACAAGTACTCATAACTCATTTCTTCAATGTGCTTATTTTTTTTTTTTTTTTTTTTTAAATATATAATCAATTTTTTTATTTCTTCAGAAAGAATAAATAACTTATAATATAATTAATTATATATGTCCGTAATTATAAAAATGGTCTAAGTTAAAATTAAAAAAAAAAATGAGTTTATTTTAAACTAAAAAAATTTAATGTAATTTTCACGATATTGTCAAAAATGGATCGTTAGATAATGTTTGTTTTTTCAATATTACATAGAATTCATATAATGTTCAAATAGAAATCATTAAATACCTCGAAACAAGAGATACATGACTTAGAC